AAAAAAACACGAAATGACTTAGCAGAGTAGAGGTAGACCTAGACTAGATTATTATTCGCAAATAATTAAGAATGAAAGTTGTTCTAGTTTTAGGGAATCGCGAAGATTAGCTCAGGATAGGAAACAGTGAGCGTGCGTGTCCAACCAACGACCTTATGATGACGATGATCTTCGCGTCACTTAGGAATAATTCGGCAACAACCTTCTAGAAAATTCTAAAATATTCTCGAATCCTATTGATAGATGAAGAGCATTCAGAAACAATCTGTAACATTTTGACCAGAGATCGGAACGCAATAAACACCGTTACTTACTCTGTATATGGAGTCCATCGAGACGATAGTTTTTCTTTAACTGTAGCTGAAAACCAAAACTTGCTTCCTGGGCAGGGGATGGAAGGCTATCATACCATATAACCTTCCATGAGACTGAGGGATTCAGTTGAGGAACATTAACGACACGGACAATTTACACCTACTTTTATCATATAACACATTGATTTCCCATCAAGGATGTGGATATAGTTTCACTACTCTCAATAATCAATATCAATATATATATAATAAAAGTAAGTGTAGTTTGTCGTACGTGACGCTGAAGCTCCTCAGCGGAATTCCACAGCCTCATGAGGGCTATATGTTTTGATAGCGTTCCATCCCCCGTTGAATTTTCAGCCGCAAGGGTTGTTTTTAAAGGAGTAGAGATTAAAACAACATTGCTCCAAAGAACTCCATATAGAGAGTCAGAAAAGATATTCAGATATCAGAACGCTACAGAATGTCAGATTTTTCCCGAATGCCCTTCATCAATAGGATTCGAGAATGTTTCAGAATTTTTTAGAAGGTTCCAGAGTATTCCCGAATGAAAACTATTTTTCTCTGTGTGAAACTACCGTTATCCAGCAATAATAAAAATTGTTTCATATACCTGTAAGTTTTGTATTTAATTTGTATATATAAGTAATACATCGATTAATAAATAATTTAGTAACAGAGACCATCACTACGAAATATAACCATGATTCTTAACAGCCTGAAATACTGATGACTGTAGTTGTTACAAAGAACTAGTAAACAGTAAGTTAATGACTCATTAAAATTAACAGTACTCGTAATATGGATTAAAGAATTATTAAATTCTGGAATATCCATTGCATTTTTGCTGCCAGCCTTCATGAAACG